ATGTAGCAGGTGCTCAATGGCGAATCAAACGCTCGGGCCACATCTTCATCGACGATCAGGATCGTTTTTCACAGCATTCTCCCTTTATGGAAAGGTGAGCGGCACTAGCGCAGTGCTGAAAGGCGACCAGGCAAAGCTCTAGACACTCCCGACTGCGCTTGCAGTGCGAGTACCTATTCCAGGAGCGGGCTCATGCAGCATCTCGAGCCCCCACGTCGACAATTGAAGCTTGTGCATGCACGTCGAGATGCTAGGACCCGCAGTTCGGCCGGGTCTTGCTGACCCTTTGATTGCCGGCTGCACGCCTGCGAGGCAGTCGGAGCTTAATTCCGCCTCTCTCTGTCCTGCAACATCAGTTCACAAATCAGAATGGCAAGGGGCATTTGCAAGATCAACTTCATTGTGTCAAATTTCGCAAGAACAGAGCTCCAAGCTGCGGGGATCATCTGGATGTCTCACATCCCGATCCGCACTGACTGTACCTCGCGTTTGCTAGACCTGACGCACGACCCCTGATCTCGTTGCGAATCTAGACGGCGACTAACAGGAACACAGACGAATTGCTCGCCCCCATCTCGATCTCCCAGCACGGTCATTCCACAATTGTCCTTCATTCAGGACTAGTAGATGAGCTCCAGAGCGCTCGAAATGCTCGCCACCTCCCACCCGATCAAGTCACCAATCATCCTCTCCTGCTTCGAACGATAGCTAAGCGAGCAAAAGCGCTGAACCTAAATGCTCGCACGCCAAGTTGAGAAGCACAAATTTCAACATTCCACCACGACGTCAGAACGCCGCTGTCAAAGCGTCTCGCCAGCGTCTCGCTTCGTCGACATTGACATCCATGGCCCGTCCCTCTTGTCATCGTAGCCGATGCATCTGAGTTTCGCGCGATAGCAACATCCACGATTCTAGAGGCCCCGGCTTGAACTCACCAAAAAGAGGCTAAACACTTCCCGTCTCACCTGTGCTGGTTTGACCAGCATCGGCTGCTAGGCTCCGATTTGGCCGCAACCCAGTCCCGTTGCAATTTCGGGTTCACCTCAAGCATCCACGGCTACAAAGAGACGGTCCCTGATAGTCGGTGAGCTCTGTGAGAACCAATTCGCTGGCGAAAACCCACACACAGAGCTCCTCAGTCGCCAATTGGCGCGGCTCTCGACCCAACTTTTGCACCAAAGTCTATTCGTCGAAGCGTTCGCTTCCGACGGACTCTTAGTACCTGACGCGGGTTGGTCGGATCTTTGGCAAACGACGTCCCTACATCGCGCTGGAAAAGCATTCGCATACATCTCGATTCGCTTCAACCTCCACTCCCTCCCTTCCAACAGTACATCCATCAGTTCCAAGTCGCACGACATCGCGCTGGATCGAACAGAACAGGACAGCGCAGCGCACACGCCACGCCACGCCTCGCCTCGGCCCGCTCCTGAGCGTGTGGGCACATTTTGCGGAGATCTCCATACCGCTTCGCCTCGGCAATCTGTACAGGAAGTGGCAGACACGTTGACGGTTATCGTAAAGTGGTCCCCTCGAACGTTTAGCTGGGGGGCAACTTAGTTGCACGGTCTTTGGGCAGACTACTTTGGCTACGCCCGCTCCGATTCAATCGTGCTCGGACACGTTTTCAGCCGACAGCAGATTGTACATACCCCGCCCTTTTACTCTGGAGTAGGGCGCCGAGACTCGCCGAACAGCACCGATCAAGCCACTGTGAGTCTTGCATCGGAGCTGCGCCCTGAGACGTCGGCTTCCTGTCCGATTTTGGCTTTCGCAGCGATCAGTGAGTGTTCGCGTCTGCATCTGGGATCGTGCATCTATATCGCGTTGGCGATGCACCCTGTCTGCGGTGTACAAATGAAGGGCAACAATCGCAGCGTTGCGCAAGGAGTCGAACTCGAAGCCAATCTCTGCGCAAACCTTGAACGCGTAGGCGACTTTTTCTGCTCGAAGGGGTGCGTCGAATCGCGTTATTGCATGGTGGCGTGGTCAGCAAGGCCCAGAGAGGGTGTTCAATGGTTTGCGTAAATACGATCGACGCCATGCCAACTCTCAGTGACATGGACCACCCTTGCGCGATGCGATTCCCTCACGACTTCTCAAACGAGCGCATTTGAGGTGATCCGTGACGCAGCGTCACGGATCTTGTGCCGAGAATCCGTATGGCGGGACCAGCACTAGGGAGGCAGGCTCTCAACAAGCGCGCCACGCAGCATTCGCTGGTCGTGGTCTGGCGCAGAAGTGTGTGTTGAGATCGTTTCAGGCAACACTTCGATGGAGTCAGGCCCCTCTTCTGGGCGCAGCCAAAGGCTTAGGGGTGGTCGCCCTCTACGTCTAAACCAAGCTCTTGCCTCACTCGTGTCACAGGACCGAGGTGTCATCGATCTTGCTCTTTCGCGCCTTGGGATCTTGCAAACGCGCATTTACGTGTGTCGGGTTGGCATCGCTGGGCGCCTGACTCTCCGTCCTTCTCCAACCAATCGCAGCACGGCTTTAAGTCAATCGTCAGCTCTACCAGCCAGCTTCTCTCTTCGTCAAGATGACGGAGTGGCCTACTGAATCGCAGCAGAACACCCGTTGGGACACTGATCCCCTTCCACCGTCAACACTGGCATCGTCAGCCTCATCGCACGCTTCCTCCTCTTCTACGGGCGGACACGTTGACCTTGCGGAGCCGAGCACAGGATCGAACATGATACCACGAAGCGGACTGCCAGGTCCTGGCCATTTACCTAGTAGCAATAATGACATCCGACTTCCCCCCATCTCTAGCTTTTTGCCACCCTCTACTAGCTCAAGCAGCAATTCGTCATCTGGGACGGTGATTGCATCGCGCGAATCGCGCACACACAGTGTTGGTGCCCTGACAGATTCGCGAGTCCCAAATCGAGCGTCATTCGCTCCGAGCTACCAGCAACGTCAGCTGGATGCTACTGCGGCACCGTCTCCTCGACTACCTCACGGTCCTTATTCGCGCAGACCGCGCAGCAGCGAAGAGTGGTCCACGAGCCGGACCGCATGGAGTGGACCTGCAAGTTCATCCTCCATGTCTGTCTCTCCTAGCTACCAACAATGGTCGACTACGGGACCCACTCGTCTGCCTGCCCTTTCGGGTGTAGGCAGCGTACCTCCCAGCACGTGGAAACGTGCGAGTCCCACGTCCCAGCACTCTCATTTGCCACGATCACAGAGCAGCGCTGGTGCCTCGCCGACGCTGACATCGCGATCGTCGTGCAGCAGCCTCGGCGTGGGTGGCAGCAGCAGTGCTCATTACAGTACCGCTAGCGCCGCTACAAGTGCAGCGCCCCGGCAGTATTCGCCGGCGCCTTCTTCGTTCCGGGGCAGGCCACCTTCAAGCCACTCCGCTGGGCCAGGAGGCCCCAACCGACGCAGGTGGAGTGGTGGACCGAGTCAGAACGCACCTTCTCCTTATGCTCGCACCTCCCCCAGCACAAGTATTCGTGTAGTTGAATCTAGGCAGCGGCGCAACACCGCGCCCGGGTCCGATCGAGGAGCGGCTCCGCTCTCTCCTGACCAAGTCGCTCGTGTGAGTCG